ACCCAGGAAATGTTAGGTTGTTTAAAGCCTGGAATAATTCCTGGCTAATCACAGAACTGACTCCCCAGTCACCTTTGACAATATCCCATCTTTGACAATATCCCCCACACACCATGAACACCCTGAAACTGAGCCAGCTACCCCTCCCTACCTCACTGACATGCTCACCCCAACCAGACCTGACTACCCCAATCTAACCTCTTACCTTACCAAGATATCCCGACCCATCTACCCACCTACTAATCTACTATCCTAACCATCCATCAAACACACACCTGACATCTCAGCCATCTGCCACCCTACACAGCAACCAACCAGCTACCACCTCACCCAGCTTGTGCCATAAAAAGGAGTCATGGCGCTTCTTCCTCTGATGCTCCAGTACTGCAATGAAATTCTTTGGGGGACTGTAGACTCCACATTTCCGTAGAAGCTGGGCTCAGAAGACTCAGTCAGAGATGCAGAGCAGCACCTATATGCAGAAAAGTGCAGATAAAATGGCAATCCAATGGCACATCTGCCATTCCTCAGAGGTCCAGGCCAATGTACCTCTTAAATCTATTTCTGCAGTACAGGTCAGCTCTGAAAAGGCTCACTCTGCTCCTGCTTATACTAGTTACATGACATCACCAGACAGCACTGTGTCAGAGTCTGACGAAGATATGGAGGAAATATTAGCAGTTTTTTTATAACTATGGAACGAGTAATTCATAAACACATTAACAAACATGGATTTTGTATAATATAGACCCAGACAGAAATGTGTATTTTCTGCAGCTTGCTTCACATCATCTAATTTTCTTCTCTCATTTTAACATCACAAAGTGGAAGAAGGACAGTGCTGATGAAACGTTAATTGTTTCTTTCTCCACCGATGTTGCTTGACCTGCTCAGCATTCATTCCAACATTTTCTGCTGGTATTTCAAATTTTCAGATTTGCTTTGGTGGCAGAAGGATGTTTCAATGACATGATACTTACAGGGGTTGATTGTTGTGATGCCCCTATCCCCACATTCTCTTTTTGATGGAGGTTCTTTTGTCTTGTCATTCCAATTTGGAAAGTAAATTATATTAGTCTTATGTTTGTGGTCATTTCAAACAAATCAAAACATATCAAACAAACATTGACAGCTCACGTGTTTAATCTTCATCTGGTGGCAGTTACAGTAGATAGTGGTGAAACTTGAGACTGGTGGACATATCAGAGATGAGCAGGTAAGCAATCTTCTATCTTTAGATACAATGGCACACACACACAGTCGTTACAATAATGTTTAAATTCTTATTGAATATAGCTTAAACAGGCAAGGCTACAGTAATGATACTTTTTAAAATCTTCACAAAGTAAACAAAAAGACTACAAACAATATTTTGCCATTATAAAGGAAGAGGGGCAAAAATGTGCCTGAATTGGACAATCAGTTTCAAAATGTTAAATGGTAAATTTTGTTGAGGGTGTGTTCGGTTGATGTTTACGGATAAAATATTTTGCTCTTTTTTATAGTTGCTGTCAGCAATAAGCATTCCCACCCTTGACATAAATCAATTCAGATGGAGCTGTTTCCTTTACAGAACTGAAATCCGACTTCAAGTCGTATTCCCAGTTTCCACATTGGTGGTAGCTTTGTTCTTCCATTCTGCAGCCACCATCAACTGGTTGGGCCTTCCCAAACTTGATATAATGAACATTCCCAAAGTCATAAGAGAGTGAGGTCATGTCCATCCCAACATTCTTAGCTGAATGTGAACCAAAGTCCAAGTAACATAATAATATTTTAAAATTAAATTTTGCACAGAATTCATTGCCAGATGAAATAGTCAGAACATTACAGCAAAGAGGAAAAAATCATGTCCTACAGTCGTATTGCAATATCTGAGAAGCACAACCACAATACCATCCTATATCATTAATATCGAACTGGCTGCAATTGGTATTGCGGTGAGAAAGAAATAAGTCACATTTATGTGATCCCTCATTGCATCCTTGCATCCAAAATGCTTTAACATCAATTGATTACTTTTTGAGGCATGGTTATTGTAGTTAAGAAGCCAAATGTAGCCACCAATTGATGCTCAGTAAATTCACACAAATATAAATTTTGTAAGTAAGAAATGTTTTAGCAGCTAATGGATGATGGAGAAATATTGGTCAGTTTACCAAAAGAATATTCCACACTTTTTTGAGTAAAGGAAGAAATGACTTGCACTTATATATCATCTTTCATGACCTCAGGATGTCCTAAAATTCTTCACAGCCAATAAATTACTTAAGAAATTGTAAAGTAGGAAATACAGCAAATTGTACACATCAAGTGCCCACAAAAAGTGACGTAATATTGGTCAGGTAAAATTAGTTAGTCCCAGATCAGAATGTTAGGATAAAACCCAGAAGAGGTTACTTAGAGCTGAGTATGTTTAAGCTTAGATGTATAATTGCTCCAGGAAGAAGCTATCTGCAGTTCCAGTCCACCTATTAAAGTCACAAGTGACTTAAACCTACTGAAGCGTTAGACACAGGGATTCTGCCATGAGTACTTGTATGAGTGGTATTTTTGGGTACTATACAAAGTGTGTTTTCAGGCACTTACAGAGGTGTGTTCTGGGAATTATACAAAAGCCTTTGTTTTTCTTTTTTCATTTTATAAAGGAGTGTTTTAAGATTAATGGGGTTGTATTTTTGCTGTGTTTAAAAAAAAATTTTGAATTTGTGTTATAGTAGCTTGGTCCATTCTATTTTATCTTTATTTTGTTGATAAACGTCTGTTTTATTGTTAAAGCAACATCTGCAACATTGCACGCTTATACCATTTCGTTAAAATCAAAATAAATCAAAATATGATCTATCAAGTCAGTTTTCAGTCTGGAATTTGACTTCTATGGTAATTACATCCACTGGGATTATAACATTTACAGAACATCGATGTCTCTGTTCGTTTGCATGCAAGCCTGATATAATTGTTTTGCTCTGGAGCTGTGGTTTCCAGAGATCTCATTTCTGGCTTGTTGTTGCCCCTTAGCATTTTTGAATGGCTCTGAAAATGGCAATGGTAATCTCTCAAATGGAGCTGTCATGCTGATCAACAATAGGTGACCTGGGTATGTGCTTAGAATTTTTTATTCTTATTTTACTCAAAGTTTTCTGCTTTGCAGCATTTTGATCTCCAGAGTCTTCCCAATGAGTTGATTTGTCTTCAAAGTCTTCCAAGATTCCTTCTTGCCCTTTGGCGTGTTCCTGCTTTGTTGCTTTATGTTCAAATTTTCTGAGTTTCTTTTCTGTCCTTTGGAATACGTCCACTTTTACTGTACTGTGCGTGAAGTTTTCTAAGCTTCTGTCCTGGATTCAGTCTTCCTGCTTTTCCACTGCATCACATGAACTGTGATCTGACTTTAATCCCTAGTTCTTGAAGTATGCCAATGCTGTCACCATGGTTTATTCACCACACTTAGAATTGTTCAGTACTTCTCTTTAGAATGGTCAATTGTTGTAATGAGTCATCTGGTTTACTAATATGTCTCAGGGAAGTAAACCTGCTATCCCTCCTAGGCCGGACCTACATGTGACTCCTTACTCACAGTAATGGTTGATTCCTAACTGCTGTGTAGACAGTTAGAGGTGGGCAATAAACATTGACGAGCCAGTGACACCCACATCCTACGAGTGACTTTTTTAAAAAATCCATTATATTTCTAAATGTATATAATCACTAAAAAAAATTCATTCATAATAGTAATCCTGAGTGTTCCAATCATTTATTTTGCATAAACATGTTAGTTAAAAGTGAAAGATTCGGTGTATTTTGCGTCCTGGATTGTGGGAATAGATCAATGTGATTTGCTGCTTCACCTGCTTGGGGATATCATAGCTAAATGCTTGGACATTGCCAGATTTAAACCAACGTCAGGGAGGGTAACATTTGCACCACAGAGATCATTCGATCTGTAGTGTGCAGCCTTCTGTGAGGTCACTGATGAGCACAGTTCTTTGTCAAAGCCTACAGAATCCAGGTGACTAGTCATAGCCAGGAGTTTGGTGGGAGTTGGGGACAGGAGATACACAGTTAATTCCCATTTGAAACATGGTTTGATCTAGGTGAGAAATACTGGATTGCAATGTCTTTTCTTAGGATATGTGTTTTGTGGCTGGTTTCGCAAATCTGGCTACAAACAGAGCAGCATTACTCAAATAAAAGGAAAGTCCTGTGGATGCTGGAAAGCTGAAAAAAAAACAGGAAAAGCTGGAGAAACTCAGTAGGCCTGTTACTATGTGTGGAAAGAGAAACAGAGTAAACGTTTTGAGTCTGGTATGACTCTTCTTCAGTTCAATTCAGGCCTGACTTGAAATGTTAACTCTTGTTTTTCTCTCTCCACTGATGGTGCCTGACATGCTGAGTTTCTCAAGCATTTCCTGTGCTTGTTTCAGTTGTATGACTCCTGTTCAGGCCGCAACAGGAGGAGCACGGGCTTCCCTGCACCATCCCTCAGAATAGTCGGTGCCTGAGGGATGCAGCGGCGGGTATGATGTTGGTTGAATTTCCTGAGCTGGAATTTCCCAGATTTGGCACGTTCTGGGGGAATAATGCTGCTGTTTGGAGGTAATCCAACCACAATTCGGATGGCCGGTGGGAATTCGCTCATATTTCTACAGCTGTAGACTAATGTCAGATCGGATGATTAATTTGTTTCGAGTCTTCAGTCATCTTGTTGATTATACAGGCAATTGCTGTGTTTTATGAGGAAGGAATTATAATACAATAGAAAATACAGAATAGTAAGTCATTTGCACTTAAGAAAGGAGCACTCGTGAAAAAATTATCCTCGACCTTTCCGAACCTTTTTAAGGTCAGATATTTATGAGAGTTCAGACCACATCCATTTGCTTGTTGCTGAAATCCCACAATTTAGTTTGAGTCATCCTCTATCAATCTACTTCCGAACTAACACTCTCTTCAACCATTCCTTACAATCTGTTTCTGCTTCGTTTGAATAAAGTGACTCTTACCTCCCAGGTCTTTTTTGTCAACCATCTCGGGGTATGTTTTAGCCAGGAAGAACAGTCTGTGGAGAAGTGATTTCTAAAGGGGCAGAAGAAATGGTAAGTTAGTTAATATATCACCATTCAAACCAGCGGCTCGTTCATGTGTAAAAGAAACTGACCGGTTCCTCTTTAAGGTTTGCATTCATTCTCCTGTCCAACAGGCGATGGAACATACTGCTCCTATCGTTCCCTGACAAACCTTTTGTACGTTGCATTTTTCCACCACCTTCCCCCGTGGAAGCCACCTCCATTTGAGGTGAGGGTCCCTCTCTCTCCCTAGGTGAATACAAACCCGCTCAAATCCCATAAACTAACAGCACACTCCCCTGCCCCCCCCCAACAAAATAATAATAATAGTCCTTAATTTTAAAATCCAACCCAGTTGGCTCAACCCAGAGAGAAATGAAACAAAACTCTTCCGTTTACACATCGCGCTGGTGTCCAGGCAGCAAGGAGATTGGGTTCTGCCTCCCATCCCATTCCATTCACTCACTTCTCAACAGTTCTTTTTGTCTCTCTTTTTATGTTTTGGCATCCTGGATTTTCTGTTGATAGTTTTCGCGAAGGAGTAGGTTACTCGGGTAACGGATTGACTGTAGTTTCTCTCCTTCCCCTCTTTCCCTTTGCCTGCAGGAGTGCCTACTGACGGACAGTCCCATCCACAGGCAATCTAAGAATTGGCCTTTTTGTAAGGATTCTGTCCCGGTGAGTCGTGCCCCCCGCCCCATTACAAGCCACCTGACCCCTGTACACAGGGCATTTACCTTTTGTAAGTATCCGAGGTTTCTTGTTAACGTATTCATGCTTAGACTGTACATTTCAAGGAGTTTGGAAACTAACAATGTTATCTCGTTTGTTTTGTCTGAAATTATGAACGGTGCAGAAAATAAACACGAGTTAAAATATCTTACAGGTATCAATGAATTGATCTTCTTTCTTAAAAAGAGTGGACGAGAAGGCACCTGAAGTGTTTGATTTAGCAATGAGAATATTAATAGGAGAGGTCTGTGCAGTGGCCGCTCCTTATTTCTGAATTAAGCCCAGTAAGGGGCTGGTGCAGTTGTCAGCCTGTTTTAGGAGGAAAGGGGGACAATGCTGATCTCTGACAGCTCAAAGCTTTGGTCCGGAGATGATGAGAAACTGGCCCCTCCTTCAGGGCAGTTCACACTGGGAATGTAACCTTGGACTGAATGTGGGAATTAGCTGAACAGACAGCATTGCTATTGCTGTGTGGTATGACATTCTCCCTGCAGGTTTCCAGTCTCGTTGGCGTTTTGCTCCGCCACTTGGAGAAGCTAAACCCCCATTGGGGGATGCGCGCTCTGTCAGGAAACTTGCAGAATATGGAGTCCTGGGCTGCTCCTGCGGCCGTTTCCTGTACCTGGGTTCATTTCGGTGCTGCATTCTCGAGGTGAAACTGATTCGATGCAGTCTTTAAAAGCTAGCGCACATTTTGCATTTAGTGAAGGAAGGATGGCGTGATCAGCCTTGACAGACATACAGCGCAATTGGTGCAGCCAAGTTTATTGAAGCTGACCGAAAAGCGAGCTGACAAACCTTCTTCTCTCTTCTTTGCTGCGCTTGCTTACGCATTAACACAGACATTCGAGTTTCTGAGGTCAGCTCATCGATTTCAAGCTGGAGCTTTCCTAGCCGCCGCTGGCGTTTCTTCCCCATGATTGACAATGTTTGCGTCTGTTACCCGGCAACTGTCCTGCTGGCAAACAAACCGCTAGTCCACAACATCCCGCTGAGTTTATTAAAAGGAGGCTACAGCCACACTGCTCTCATCTATTACCACAGACAACATTGCAGTATCCAGCTTTTTGGCGTAGTGTTTTTTTTTAAATGCATATTAATCCCCTTCACATTTCCACCACAACTCCTCAGGGGGAGCATTTCTCTGGGGGGTTTCTTCACATGAATATTTGCTAGATTAAAGGACATCGCAACTCACATGAAGATTAATCCCATGGTTTCTTTTATTCACTCCTGGGGCGTGGGTGTCGCTGGCTGGCCAGCATTTATTTCCCATTCCCTAGCTGCCCTTAAGAAAGCGGTGGTGAGCTACCTTCTTGAAGCACTGTAGTCCATGTGCTGTAGGTTGACCCACAATGTTCTTAGGGAGGGAATTCCTGGACTTTGACCGAGTACAGCAATATATTTCCAAGTCAGGATTATGAGTGTCTTAGAGGCGAACTTGCAAGTGTTCCCTTGTCCTTCTAAATGGAAGTGTCCCGGAGTTTGGAAAGTGCTGCCTAAAGATCTTTGACAAATCTCTGCAGTGCATTTTGTAGATCATACACACTGCTGCTACTGATCATCAGTGATAGACTGGCTGACTGTTTGTGGATGTGGTATTAATCATGGGGTGTAGGCATCATTGACTGTGAAATATTTATTGCCCATTCCCCATTGCCCTTGGGAATGTGTTGGTGAGTTGACATCTTGTACCGTGGCACTCCATTTGGTGTAACTGCATCCACAATGCTGTGAGGGGGTGAATTCCAGGATTTTAACCTAGTGACATAAAGAACTCAGCTAAATGAATCAGCAATAATTATAGATAGAACCAGTGTGGTTTGACCATGTTAGCTCTGTGGTTGCACAAACATCTTACAAACAAATGATTGTGGTTTCATAGTCCCGGCCCAGAATCTCAACCACATAGCGGTGAGGATGACACAAGGAGTGTATAGAGGGATTTAAGTCAGGTTGAATGAGCAAAATGGGAATGTAACATGAAAAAATGTGAGCTTAGGCACTTTGGCAGGAAGGAGAGCTGAATGCTGTTTGAATGTGGAAAGACTGCAAATAGCTCAAGCACAAGGATTTGGGGGCCCCAGTGAATGAATCACAAAAAGATAGCATTGAAGTTCAGCAGGTAATAGGAAGGCAAATGGAGAGTAGATATTTATTTTAAAGGGAATGGTGTATGAAATTAGGGAGGTCTTGTTGTGAACTGTCTACTGTGAACAATTTGGTACATATCTAAGGAAAGATTGGAGGCAATCCAGAGAAGGTTCACTAAGCTGTTTCCAGATATGGAGAAATTTTCTCATGAGGAGCAGTTGAGTATGTTGGGCTTGTACACATTGCAGTTTAGAAGAGAGACTTTATTGAACACAGGGGCTTGACAGAGTTGATGTGGAGAGTTTATTTCTCTTCGTCATAGAGTCTAGCACTAGAGTACATAACCTCAGGGTAAGGGGTTGCCCATTTAAGAAAGAGATGAGGAGGTTTTTTTTTAACTCAAAGCACAGTAAATCCGTGAAATTCTTTACTGCAGAGGGCTGTTGAGGTTGGGTCATTTACTGTTTCAAGGCTGAGATGGACAGAGTTTTAATCAGTAGGGGAATCAATGATTATTGGGATAAGGTAGAAAAGTGGAGTTGAGGATTATCAGATCGGCTATTACCTCAATGATTAGTAGAGCAGACTTGATGGGCTGAATAGTCTACCTCTACTCCTATGGTCTAAGCTTTTATCATCTCGGGAATGGGATCACTGTACTATTGGAGGTGTCAATCTTTGGTTATTAAGTCAAAGCCCTGTCTGCCCTGACCGGTGAGCATAGAAGTTGACACACAGTGGCATAAATTGAGAAGAATAAGATATCCAGGCCAATATTCATCCCTCAGATAATGTCAACAATGCAGATTGACCCAGAATTCTGGTCAGCAGTGAAACAAAGGTGTCAACCCTCCATTCTAGGCCTTGCCTAAAATTTGGCCCATTATCTTGCTATTTATTTTGTTGATGATTGTGGGGGCCTTACATATTGGCTGTCATATATCCCTATCAATATATTACTCTTTTTTAGTTTGTGTGACTGAGTACCCCATTATACAGTACACAGTGAGAAATTTGGGAAAGGGTTGTCATTTCCATTAGGGGACAGTCAAATGATTGTGGCAATGGAAGATAGATGATGAATTTTGACATAAATCTACTTTTTATCTAGATAAATCTACTTCTACATCTTATCATTAACAGAAACAAATCTTGAGGAGATCCTATTCACAATGCTTCATTCATCTTGAAAATACTACAATTCAGATGACAGAAGTGGGGAGAAGGTGGTATAGTGATCTAGTAATCCTAGAAATCCTACCATGGCATTTGGAAACTAGTCTCCATATTGGTGACCATGAAACTATCAATGATTGTTGTTCACAAAAAATATCTAGTTTACAATGTCCTTCCTTTAGGACTGGAAATCTTTATCCATGATTACTTTGTCAGGCCCATGTGAGTCTCCAGACTCAAAGCAATGTGGTTGTCTGTCAATAGCCCTCTTCCTTGTAAGCCAAGGGCAATTAAGAATGGGCAACAAATGGTGACCATATCCATATACCATGAAAGAACACATTTCCGAAGAAAGACAAAGAACAAAACTCAACACAGTGTATACTGGTGATTGTAATCTTTGAGTACAATAAAGGGGAAGATATTCACCTATGCATATTCATTGATACCTATATCAAGGTTATCAGGTAGGAATCTAAAAGATCAAAAATACATTAAACAGTGGGAAAATGATAAAATAATGATTGGCTGAAGGATAATTAAGTAAATTATATTAATCCAATTGCCTCACTGTTAATAACTGTATAATTTAACCCATAGTGAAATGGGGAGAAGGGAAGGGAAAAATGACGGGAAGAATAATGCTAAATAGAAAAGGAAACAGCAGGTTAACATTAATGCAGAAGGGTTTAACTACATCCAGCACTATGAAGACAGTTAAAAGGAAGGAAAACTCAGGAGATATCATTAATGGAGATGTTAAAATTCAAAAAAAAAGTATTAACATCTAGCATAAAGGCACTTTACCCAAATGCTCGTAGCATCTGAAACAAGGTAGATGAGTTAACGGCACAAATTATCACAAGTGAGTACGATTTAGTAGCCATTACGGAGTCACGGTTGCAGGATGGTCACAAATTTGAATTAAATATCCAGGGGTATCAGACTATTCAGAAGGACAGACAGGAGCTCTGATATGTAAGGATGACACCAGGGCAGTAGTGAGAGACGATATGGGTTCTATGAAAAATAAGATTGAATTGGGCGGAAATTAGAAATTCTAAGAAGGAAACGTCACTGATAAGCGTAGTCTATAGGCCACCAAATAATAACATCACATCGGGACGGGCAATAAACAAAGAAATAACTAATGCCTGTAAAACGGTACGGCAATTATCGTGGGGGATTTTAATCTACATGTTGATTGGTTGAACCTGGTCAGTCAAGGCAGCCTTGAGGAGGAGTTCATTGAATGTATCTGCGATAACTTTCTTGAACAAGGTGCAATGGAACCGATGAGGAAGGAAGCTATCCTCGATCTGGTCCTGTGTATTGAGACAGGCATAATTAATGATCTCATAGTTATGGATCCTCTTGGAAGGAGCAATCACAGTATTCTAGAATTTAAAATATAGATGGAAAATGAGAAGATAAAATCCAATATCAGGGACCTGTGCTTAAACAAAGGAGACTACAATAGGATGAGGGAGCAGTTGGCTAATGCAGACTGGAAGCAAAAACTCTGTGGTGGAACAGTTGATAAACAGTAGAGGACTTTCAAAGGTATTTTTCAAAGTGCTCAGCAAAAGTATATACCAGTGAAAAGGAAGGACTGTAGGAAAAGGGGTAATCAGACATGGATGTCCAAGGAAATAAGGGAGGCTATCAAACTGAAAGATAAGGCTTACAAAG